ATGAGGTAAAGAATGTGGAGAGCTGTTTCCTCCAGAACATGTTTAACTTTATTTAAAATAAATAGAGTTTTTGACAATTTACTTTGTATAAATCTAATTTGAGGTTTCCATGTTATTTTATCATCAATAATGACCCAAAGAAATTTATAATCATACCATATATCTTTATTTTGATATCTTTATTTGACTTACTATTCCCAGATAGCATTATTTTTGGTTTGGTTTTCTTGTTTTTTGTTGGCTCACATCCTGGAATTAAGAAGGGTTTTGTTTAAAAGGGGAGTGTGTTGGTATCAGACAGGACTAAAACACAACGTAGTCCCGGTTCAGTGAAGTACGTGTTTGTTGTGTTTGTTTTGCAGATAAGGCCAGCGTGGAGCGCAGGATCTCAGCTTTATGCTACTGTACGGTCACGCTGTACGAGTAGCAGCTGTAGCTGAACACGCCAGCACCGAGGGACCAAGTCCTGACGAGACTCTGCTGGGGCCTTCTGTAGCAGCTTAAGCACTTTTCTTTTGTTTGGTTTAAAGTTTGTGGAACTGGCCGAGTGTCGCTGAGGCACAAAAATCCAACCAAAGATGACAGCCGGTTTGAGCATCAACATTCTTCTTACATCCATTCTGACACGTTTAAAACTGTTTATTTGACTCTTTATTGTCTTATTTATTGCTTTAAATGAACATGGACTTTCCTGTCTGTCACTGAAACCTCAAGTATTGGAGCTAAAGAGAAGAAACCTGACTGAGTGGAACAGATCCACTCAGACTTCATCAGTTCCTTTCACAGGAAGCAGACGCCACAAGAGCAAAGTTCACTTGTTTTTATTTTTATTGTTTTAAGCTCAAGCACTTTATTGTGGAATGAGATGAAGGGGTTGAATAAAAAAACAAATGTGAAGACTGAGGGGGGGTCACCTCACCCTGAAGCTCACCTGCTGCGTGCCCACAGGAAGGTGCACAGCACCCGCTTCAGATGTTATGATCCATGAAATGGACGTTATTAGGCGTTATCAGTCCCATAGAATGGCTTCTGGTTGTCAGCTGGTTAACATGAGGCATAAAACCACTAAGGTTAACTTCAGAGCAAATGACATTGTTAACGCTAAAGACACCGCCCTCTAACGGTCTTTTATTGTGTCCTCTCAATAGGGCAATGGGTAGAGTGTCGGACCAGACAGCGGGAGGCCAGGATTCAAGACCGACACATAAAAATTTATTACAATATCTTTTGGTTATTTACACATTCATTGTCATTGATATATTAACCCACTAGGGGGCACTGTCGGGACAGTCTGAAGCCTAGAAGGCACAGTAGGGACCCTCTGAAGCCATTGTATGGGACTGATAATGCCTAATAACGTCCATTTCATGGACTGATAACATCAGAATCCCCTGTCCACAGGAAGGTGTGGGCTCCTCAGAGGATTAAAGCCCCGCCCCCGTCAGACACGAGCTCTGATGGTCTCACCACGTCACCATGCTGACGCCACAGGTCCTCCTCTCAGCACTGAACAGCTAATCAGGGATCACTGATGAAGTCCAACACGTTTCTGTTCACAGACTCGTACAAAACAAATGCAGCTTTTTCTGTTTGCTCACAATCTGTAGCTTTTTAAAACCCCTGATAAACCTGTACATAAGTGAATGCAGTGCATGTGAGGGGTCCCCTCTGAGGGAGGGGGCGTCGATGCTGCCGCCACACACCCCGACTGTCAAATAGCACAAATCTTTATATGTAGATAAACCAGACTTTACTGGTTTCACTCGTCTGCCAAGGGTTGCATAAGGAAAACCAGTTTTTGGCACACGAGTGTCGAAGATGACAACATGGCAGCTGTGATCTTTGTACCAGGACTGTTTGACGTCACTCTCACTCCCTGCTGTTTGAGGAYGGCAGCCTCTTCAGATTTCCTCCTCCTGGCAGGGTTTTTGTCTCCACAGCTTGTAGCATCCACACTGTGTATGTCCGAGTTGCCAGGTGTGGTCAGGGTTTATCTAGACAGGAGGGGCCTTCTGTTTGTGAGAGCAAACCTGGGCTGACTCCTACAGATGTGAATATTTGTAAAAACACATCATCACCACTGGTCCTGGCCTGTCTCTGGTATGTAGTTTGTTTTCATTAGATTTGGACATATCTAGGTTTGAGTTTTCCCTCGTCTGGATGACGAGCTGTAAACAACAAAGTGTTTGATGCACTCAGAGCAAAGAGGGAAACTCCCCGACTCTCCTCTCTGCAACAGAACACAGTTTGAAGCRAAGCATGGACACCAAGGCTGCATTTCTGCACCTGCTTCGGATGTTATCATCCATGAAATGGACGTTATTAGGCGTTATCAGTCCCCTAGAATGACTTCAGAATGTCCCGCCTGTGCCGGTTAACAGGTTCCCCCGTCCCATAGAATGGCTTCTGATTATCAGCTGGTTAATATGAGGCATAAAAAATATGGTTAATATGAGGCTTAAAGCCACTAAGGTTAATGTTAGAGCAAATGACTTGGTTAGCGCTAACCTCCAACGGCTGTATATTGTGGCCTTCCAATAGGGCAATGGGTAGAGCGTCAGTCCAGGGATCGAGACCGACACAGACACAAAATGTTTATTACAATATCTTTTTGTTATTTACACATTCATTGTCATTGATATATTAACCCACTAGGGGGCACTGTTGGGACAGTCTGAAGCCTAGAAGGCACAGTAGGGACCCTATGAAGCCATTGTATGGGACTGATAACGCCTAATAACGTCCATTTCATGGACTGATAACATCAGAATCCCCTGTGCATTTCCCCTGTAGATCCTGTAGGATGTTGAATGTCTGAACCCTGTTTTTGCACCTGGTTAACTTGAAATGAATGCGTTTTGAGGACACCGCTGTCGGTCACTCTTTCCAAGCTTCAGTTTTTCAAAGTGAAACTTTAATGTCATAATTTTCTGTTCTTTACCAAACTGAAAAACAGTCTTTGTTATTAAACAAAAAGGAAAATGAGCTGTGTGCTGTGATTTATTCATTAAGGTGGTGAACGGTTGGGTCTTTTCCAGGTCTGGATAAACAAACAAGGATTAACATTTGTGTTTTCTTATTTAATTTTGTTTCTGCTTAGAAATTATAATAAAAATATAAAACTACACTGCAAAAAATGTCCACCTAACCAAGTTTTAAAATCTTATATCAGCCAAAAAGTCTTTTTGATCTTGTTTTGAGACTGATTTACTAAACAAGAACTGATTGTGTAAGAATAATMATCTTGTTTTCAGAATGTGTAAGATTATTTGTCTTGTTAGTCTGAAAATTTCACTCAAATTAAGTCAAAAATTTCTGCCAGTGCAGTAAGAAAATTTTACTTGGTAAGATACTTGAAATAAGAAAAAAATTGAGTCAAATCTAGTATTTCAACAATCCACATACAGGTCATGTTTGTAAATGGGAAGTGGTTCTCAAACAGTTTACATGAATGAATGAATAAATAAATTACTGCATTTAAACATATATTTGCTTTGCTTGCTTTATTATTAATGTATTTCTCTCTATTTTTGCAGATATTTTATCTACTGCTGTGTGTTGTGCGCCTTCGGCATGCATTTGTTGTAGTTCACAAAGGGGGCGGAGCTTAGACCTTCATGCACTTCACTGATTGGGTCCCTTCTTGACGTACCACCAACTGACCAATGACTGACCTCCTTCTTTCACGCTGCGGCTTCCGGGAAGTTTTTTCAACCTTTTCAGAGGTGTGCTGTCCGAACTTGTCGGAGTGGAAGGGTGACTTTATAAGACCCAGTGTTTTTACGGTAACTGTTGTTTATCTAAACATTTAACACTGTATTGTTGTAACTCTGTTGTTAATGTTTCTGAAGCTTTTTTCTCTTTGATGTGAGCGGGTCGGTTAAAAACATGTCGGTGTTGTGTTCTCGGTGAGTCTAACTGAGTGCTGAGGTCTTTCACAGGCAGAATGCAGTCTTTCAGGTTTTAATCAATCGATCAGTCGCTGCGGTCACCTTGTGCCTCAGGATTGTTGTTTTCACTGCAGCTCAGAAAGTGGGCGGAGCGTAAAAATCTAAACTTTAACCAGTGAGTATTATGTAAAATAAATATATTTTAAAGGTTTATATCATGTTATCATGCCATTCCCTCATCAAAAACATACTCAGAGTGTTGTTTTGACTCATTCATGAGTGTTTGAGAAAGCCTTGAATCTCCTGTAACCATGTGGAGCTGCCTGAACTGGAAGGGGTTATATGCGGAATCAAAGTGGGCGTGTCACAAGAGTGGGCGTGTCTAAAGCATAAAAACTGTGGGCTACCAGGCTTACATGACGGTATCCTTAGACCCTGCTTGATGTCTTTACAGCCCGACCCTGACCCCAACACTAAGGTTGACCAGGAGAAATGTGACCCAACAGAGGGTAAGTGGTGCCGTACAGTAACGCCCCTTTTATTCTTGTCCAATCAGGTGGTGCCGTACGATGACACCCCTTTTTTTGCTTGTCCAGTCAGGTGTGTCCCTTTAACAAAGTCCGTCAAATCAGGCGTGTCGCTTTAGAATCGCCTTTCCTTGTGACACGCCCACTCGTCCGCAGAGACCCCTACTTGGCCTAAACACTTGTTGCTGCTACAAAGCTCCGCCTCTTTGTACAAAGCTCCTCTCTGGAGCTCAATCTGCAGCCGAGCGCCCGCCCCACAGCACCCCTTCCCTGAAGCATTGTTGTGAACATGTGCTGAAGTGGGAGTGTCAGAAACGGTAGGAGGTGTAAAATTAGACATAATTTGATAAACATTTACTTCAACTGTAAATCAAAGAGTAAAAACCCTGCAGGCTGTTTACATGGTGTCATGGACAGCAACAGACTCAGTTTATGGCAACTGCATCATTCAAAAATAATTCTCGACMGTTGGACAATGTTTAATAACCATGAGAACAATGACTTCCTCAAAAACAGTGGATCTGTGTTC